CCGCCAGGGAGCTGCCCTGCCCCGACGAGGCTGCGCTTTGCTGCCCTGGCCAAGGCCGATGAGATCATTAATTTCTTTCCTGTCGGGACCAACGTGAGCTACGCCTGCCGCCCCGGCTACGAGAACACCTCGGAGAGTTCCCCCACCAGCACCTGCCTGGAAAACCTGGCGTGGTCGGAAGCTGCTGAGCTGTGCAGGAGTGAGTATCCCAGTTTGACAAGCGTGTCAAGCACCCGCTGCGGAGCTCGGAGCAGCTCGGGCAGCTGCTCCCAACCCCGTGCTGAGATGCAGGGGGTCGTTGTCATCCCAACAGCTACACGTTCAGCACAGAATTAGGTGGGTATTCCTTGCATGAATACTTAGGGCTGAACAGCACCAGTGCCCAGCAGTAGCATTGGTTTTTTCTCATTATTTTCCCCGCTGACACGAACATGATCTGTTCTGATTCTCATCTCAGTAAATCCATTCCCACCTGGACACACCACCTGCACAGGTGAGATGCCAGTTTGCAATTCTGGCATTAGGCTTCAAAATGTGTATTTCCTGGTGAAAGCCATATCGTGTTAAGACTGATGGGGTGGCAGTGATACACCTTTCACAGGTGAGTGACTGACTGCCAGTCTGCTGAGATGGAAATGCCTCTGCAAATATGCTCAGTCCTCCTGCAAGATGCTCTCAGGGCCCCACACCTACAGCTGACCCTGGCTGCTGCCACCTGGGCTCTGACTCTGTGAAGTGGGACACTTTGGGACCCTGGGCACAACCCTCTGTCCCTGAAGTAGCCTCCTTTCTTTCTCCCTCACCGTGTCAGCACTAACACGGGGCTGGTTCCCACAGGGAGGTCCTGCGGGGAGCCGGGGGCGCTGCCGGGGGGCCGGGTGGTCCCACTCACAGACCTGCAGTTTGGGGCACGGGCAAAGGTCTCCTGTGAAGATGGGTGAGTGGTGGGCAGTGCCTGAGCTCTGCCACACTGGTGCTCAGGCACCAGCCTGGGAATATAACCCAGTCCAGTGCAATGAGCTATTGGGCACGGACTGGACTGCTGTGGTGTTGCTCCCAGGGCAGAGTGTGGGGCTGAGTTTCCCATTTGATTTACAGCTCTGGGCTGGGAGGGCCTGGGGTCTGAGTCTGGGGCTGCCTTTTCCTTCCAGTGTCATCCAGAGGAAATGTCACAACCCCAGGATATCTGTACCTACAGGGCTGGTTCTGCCATCACCTTATAACTATAGAGTTCAAAACAGGTTACTTAAAATATTTTGATTTGAGATATAGTTGAGACATATTGAATAAAAAGGGATTATGTTTGAATGTTAAAAATTCAGTGACGTTGAGTTAGGCAGCTGCAATGAAGCACAGTTTCCATCAGGTTCTGAGCTGACTCACTCTTTCTGCCTGCTTTCCATCAGGGCACACATGCAGCAGACTGACTTGCAAAGTTAAGCTCTTAAGGCACCAGCCAGTGTTGCTCCCTCTCTGGCAGGAGCTCGCTGGCATCATCTGGCTTGTTCTGTCAGTCTCTGCAGCTGCTTCAGATGTGACAGTTCTTTTTTCTCCAGATATTCCCTTAGGATGGACATTGAGGAAATGACAGCATATCCCACCCTTCTGGGGTTCAGTTCATCTTCAGCAACACACATCAGGGTGGAGGGATAATGTTATCCATCTAAACAAGACCAGATACTATTGATCACGTCCAAATTACAATTTTTTTTTGAACAGGAGGATAAAATTCAGAGATTGGGAATGGAGGATCCTGGCAGGGAGTGAGGCAAAGGAGCTCTCCTGTTAACTAGCATGTGGCTGCCTCTCTGCTTGCTTTAAAACTGCCTTTGCTACAATCCTGATCGTGCCTGTGCCAAGGGGGTGGGAAGGGTTCTCACTTTCTGGACAGTTACACAACTTTTTCTTGTGTATTTTCACTTAGGTACAAATTAGATGGGAGAGATTTCATCCAGTGCCAGCTTAAAGGAAACGATGTTGAATGGAGTAAACTCCCAACTTGTGAATGTAAGGCTAATCCAAACTTACTTTTGACTTCACTTCAGTAGATCCTGCTCCCAAATGTCTAACCTGACCCCATCCCCAGACATTGGTTTTGTGACACATCTGTCACCCACCCTGCAGCTGAGAAATACCCACTTCAGTGCTGACATGGTATTTCAGCAGTTTGGTTCCCACAAGACCAGTGTATTTTCTCATGACTGCAGGCAGCAGGAGGTGCTGGGGGGGGGATTGCAAGGAATCACAAACCACAGCTTGGCAAGTTGCCTGTTTATTTCTGTGACCCTTAGAGTGAGGGGGAAAAAGATGTGTCAACAGAAAGAAAAGAGGTGATGGAGACAGAAGGTAGTGCTCGTTACCCTCCTCCAGCTGTCCAGAAAGTTTATGATCTTTGGTGAACTCTTAAGTACCATTTTGCATGTTCATGATGACTGAAGCTTTCAGCAGTGCTTGTGTCCATCTTCTTTCCTGCAGTAATTACCTGCTCTTCACCTCCTCAAATTACCAATGGAAAGCATGATGGAGAAGGTGTAGAAAAATTTCCATATAACTCAACAGTGACTTACAGCTGTGCCTCTGGCTTCCAGCTCGTTGGGAATGGGAGCATCCGTTGTACAAGTAGGGACAGAACCAGCGGAGCCTGGAGCGGGGCTGCGCCGGAATGCAAAGGTGGCTTCACCTGAGCTGGTTACAAGTTCAGCCTTTGGTTTGCACCAGCTTAAAAGATTGTGATTGGTTAGCACAGGGCATGGCTGGTGTAAATCATACTGCAGTTTTTAAGAGGCTAAAAATGGAGGGTTGCTGGGGGGAGTGAGGAATGAAGAGGCTGTGCAAGGAGGGGGCAGCGCTTCCAGCAACGCTCGCTCTTCCTGCCCTAGAGAGAAGCACACCTGGCAAACCTGCAGCAAAAGGAATGGGAAGGAGTCCTCCTCCCCAGGGTGAGTTGAAATGGTTCCACATTAAGTCCGATGGTTCTGACTGAATTTTTCTCCTTTATCACCTTTCTGTGGAGGGGGAAAAAAAAAAAAGCCAAAAAAAAGCAGCCATTTGATGACTTTCACACTGTGGTTTTCTTTCCTGTCAGGTTCCCGTGGAAATGGCATCCAGCCATCTAAGAAAGCTTCCAAGTGGGAAATGAAGCTCAGCCTTTATAAAAAGTCACTCCAAAATACCAACTCCTTCTCCCATTCTTCTTCTTTCTCCAGGAAAACAGGTCAGGCCAGGAGGCTCATTCACAGTTCAGGGGAACTGGGGCTCTCTGGTTGTTCTCAGTCCTACATCTGGAGTTCTCATTTTCCCCCCATGTTTCTCTTCAGTGCCACGGGGCTGTGCTGCCCCAGCATTCAGGTTTGTTGTACCTTTGTACAAAAGCCAAACCTACTATTCTTCTGGGACCAGCCAAGGATCCATGTGTTTTCCAAAGTACATGGGGATCTCTGGCATCCTCCCCCAAGCTGGCTGCTTTGAAAACTTAAAACAGTCTAAAGTTGCATCATTTTGTGGAAGTGAGTGATTTTTTAATATATTTTTTGGTTGTGTTCTTTTCTTCTTCAAGTTTTCTCTGTAAAACTAATTTTTTTCTCTGGTTGGGCATCTGGTTCAAAGCTCAGGGTTGACAGCACTGACCTCCTCCTCTTAAAAAACCTTTGCTTTGTATGAAATGTATATTCATTTATGAGTTGTTTCCTTGTGTTGTTAGAGATTTTGTTTAATCTTTCCCCCATCCCATGTTAAAAAGCAAGAGAGCTTTATACTCCATAACCTTAAGAGTTCTGAGGCTTCTGTCCTTGGTGCAGCAGTGGGAGGAAAAGCACTAACACCAACCTTGTTCTACCCCAGAAAGGTCATGGGCAGCCAGGAGCAGCAGGACGTGGCAGAAGTGCTGCTACAAGAGATTCCCTATCCGTTGCAAAGGACTATTTTACCCATGAAAAGGGTGAGTGTCAATGGGGTGGGAGATGATGTCTGCGTGGGAATTATAAGCCTGGAAGTGCCAAAACCAAAACTCCCCCTGCAGAGTCTGGCTGCCCAGCTGGAAATGGGCTGAAAAGCATTTTTCTGGTGTCAGGGTCAAGCTGAACTTGCCCATCCCTGAACCACATTTTTTGGGTCAAACCCAGAAAACCTGGCACCCCTGTCATGGTGGACTTGGTGTGTGAACCTGCACAGCCCGTGGCTGTCACACAAATGTCCAGAAATGCCCCCATGCAGGTGCAGTGTGGCCAGGAGGGATTTTCCCCATTGCTGCACCATTTCTCAAAGGTGGGGTTTGTTCCAGTCTCACCAGGCTGACAGCTGGGACCGTGCCCTAAATGTATTCTTGTAATTGTGAGATGTTTTAATATTCCAAGAAATTGATTGAATATGACTTAGGAAAGACTTGGCTGTTTCCCACAACTCCTTCTCCCACCTGAGCTTTTTCTCTCTTTCAGGATTTCCCTCCTAACATCCTGAATCCAGTTACCCTTCCCTACTGACCCAACCAGCCTTTTTCCAGGCTGGGGGTGGGAAGCTGTGGTTTTTCAGGAGCTCCTCAGGCCATCTGCAGAATTTCTGGTGGAGCTCAGTTATGTCACAACACATTTGACTCTGTGTTTCCACCCCACACGTTTCCTGGCTGGTGCCATAGCATCACTGTAAATACACAGACTCACAGGATAGGCTGGAAAAGGCTGCAACAGAGCAACTGGGAATGTCAGATTTATGCTGTTGGCTGCTCACCACCTTTGTCCCATACAGAACACTCATTGGTCTGTACTTAGGTGCCTTTCTGGGGTTTTATTTCTGTTTATTAATAAATGGTGATTGTTTCTAAAGGACAGCCTCTGAGTTCAGTCACCTGCTGCTCCCTTTTTTATTCTTTTCAGGCAGGTATCAGCTTTGACAGAGACCTCAGTAATGTTCAGATTTGCTGTTTAATCAGTTCTTTATCAGCACTGTTTCCTATTTATTTTCTAAAGGGCCTCTTGGGCAAGTTTGTTGGAAAGGAAAGGAAGAAAATCCATGCAGTAATGGTTGGAATGTATTTCTAGGGAGTGGTCTGAAACAGAAAGCTGGAGGGATTCACACCTCCCTTACTCCTGGGTGGCCCTGGGGGTCCTGAGCAGCCCCCCTGCAGCTGCTCCCCCTTCAGTGCAGGCAGGCCCAGGGAGTCAGTCCCAAAAAGGCTTCGGGATCTGTGGGTGACATCCTGGGCTGCTGCCCTGCACGGGACAGCAGGAGAGCGTGGGAGCAGGCAGGGTTTGTGTTAAGCCAAGTGCAGCACCGGCAGCTCCAGCCCTGGTTGTGCCGGCTGCTTGTGCTGGGAGGCTGGTGCTGGTGCTGGTGCTCAGGCTGGTGCTGGTGCTGCTGCTCAGGCTGGTGCTGGTGCTCAGGCTGGTGCTGGTGCTGCTGCTCAGGCTGGTGCTGGTGCTGCTGCTCAGGCTGGTGCTGGTGCTGCTGCTCAGGCTGGTGCTGCTGCTCAGGCTGGTGCTGCTGCTCAGGCTGG